TTTTTTAAAAATATTTATTAGGTTTAAATTGAAAGACCATATAATAATAATATAAGATATGTTTGTGCTGAACTACCTACTGTATCTGCCACAGTTTACACGGTATCGAAAAGTAGGTTCATGGATTGCACCCTCGATTTGAACGAGTTCATATTTGGGAGTACTTCCACGTCTGCTAAGCAACTCTTGCAATATAGAGACAGGGGTCTTTGATGGCATGGCAGCCATTTCCTAAATTAAACCATTTATCGTTTGCAATATTACTCTCATTAAATTATTAAAATCCTTTCATTGCACAAATTCTGAATAATTTAATATTTATATATAAATTATTGAAATTCCATTTACCTTGCACCAAACTAGCTTTGCTGCCTCTTCTAAAGCTATGCAATCAGTTCTCAAGTTTATGTAAGTATTGTTTCTTTGATTTCTTCTCCTAGAACCAGAATGTCCGCCAACATTAGGAGTAGACACAGATTGTTGCAATGTATTTTGCATCTGTTGGGGAAGAATAGTCTAAACTGAATATTACTCATATATTCAATAATAACCCATAACAGCTCAAATTATTGAAATAACCAATAAAGTAAAAAAAATGTATAAAAAATCTATTTATGTAGCAAATATAAAGAACTTTTTGAAAACTTGTATATTATTAAATTACGTAATAAAACAAATAAAATAATAATTCACTTATTTCTCAAATTGTTATAATATAAATTAGTAATAAGATGCTCGCGACATATAAAAATGTTTGAAGATATGTACAACTTAATACATAAAACCGGCAATATTGATCGAGGTGGGATTTCACTGGTTTTCAAGATGGCATCCCGAACGCATATTTCATTTATTTTGAAACAACACTATAATTAACTTGATCTTTCTAAACATAACAGCAAAAATCAAAACAAACAGTTCTAAATTTGTTAACAAATCTTTCAATTACCTTAGATCATTGAATCATTTGCGTTTGGACAACGTCACGAACGCAATTTTATTAAGAGTTTTCTCACTTATAACTAAATGAACAAAAATAGATAACTAAATTCTCAATTAATTCACAACCCAAACAAAAATGTGATTATGTTGATTGCAAAAATGCACTCTTTCAATTGTCTTTTAAATTACGTTAAATTTTCTTAATTTCATCTGGTTATTCAACACAAATGAAAAGAGCATAGATATAAAAGATACATCCACAATCGAGCAAAACCTCATTATCATAGATAATCAAAGATAGACCACCGAGTTGTAACCCATATACTCTTCTTTTATCTATGGTGGTAACCATAGAGTATGGTTGTAACCCTAGACAACTAAAGGTAATTCCACACCTAGCAAACGAGCACGAACATGGCGTTGTGGACGCTACCACGAATGTAGACAAACATTTTTCTTTTTTGATGTTAAAATGTGCAGTACTGCATTAGTGTATGTTGTTTTTATTATAAGATATTGCTGTTAAAGACAATTTTTGTAAATTTGATGACTTTAAATAATTTTTCTCTTTCCCGCCACTTCAAATAATTCGAACTCGAACAAAAAGATTCAAGGCCTCACTGCTTTGAAGCGTTTGTTTGGAATGATTTGCCTTTATTCGTGTTCCTATTTGTTTTTCTTTGTATTTTCTTGTTCGCCTTGAAGGTGCGCTACCTAAAGGTGCGTCCACACCTAACGAACGAACACGAACGAACATGGCGAACAAGAAAATACAAAGAAGAACAAACGCGAACACGAACAAAGGCAAATCATTCCAAACAAACGCCTCAAAGCATGAGGCCTTGAATCTTTTTGTTCGAGGATGTACTGTGAAACGTCAGATTTATTATTTAAAGTGGCGGGAAAGAGAAAAATTATTTAAAGTCATCAAATTTGCAAAATTTGTCAATGACAGCAATATCTTATTATAAAAACAACATACACTAATGCAGGACTGCACATTTTAACATCAAAAAAGAAAAATGTTTGTCTACATTCGTGGTAGCGTCCACACTGCACATATGAGTTCAAACATAAACGAACAATTTTCTAGACATCCTATTCTAAAAGACATCCTATCAATCATCTGTCAAAAACGTTTGACATTTCACGTAATAGCCACCGTCCATTGTTTTATTTAAATTACGCTTCTACAATAATTTTCAAAATAAAAATGTATAGTTTCTATGCGATTTTGAAATATTATCTCACCTTTCCGACCATATCTGGATTGGCACGAATTTTTCAAGACTAAGATTGGCCAAATCGGTTTAGCCGTTGTCGAGTTTTACCGAATCATTTGATCGAGAGCTCCATTTTTATACATAAGAAGTTATATAGTTTATTTGATGTGAATGATTGTTATATCGACATGACCAGTAATATTTAAGTGAAAGTATAATTAAAACATTTTCTCGATTTAATAAAGTCATTTATTTGTAATTATATTATATTGAAGATATTTCATCTCTAAGAATACTTAATTAGTCACAAGATGATCTAACAATCCATTTGTTATACATATAGTATTCATGCCATTTTTAATGTAAAATAATTATGAGCATGAATATACATATCTTTCTATAGATGGTTTTACTAAAGTTAATTTGTTTATATATAACATTAAATAATGATTTAAAAGCTTAGAAAATTCAAACTTACTTTAAATTTGCTCCAATTGTAATTTTGACATTTTGCGAACTCATTATGCTTATTAAGTGTAGGATTTGATAATCAGCAAATTCCAGTATCATTGGCTTGTTAATCCTGTCGCTGTTAAGATATAGCAGCAGCTTTGAAAACTTGCTGACAGAAGTTTAATGTGTTTCCAATAATTGATAGATATTTGAGATATTTCAAATTCAAATCATCATTTTGATATTAAAATTTTATGTATCACCTACTGCCAAAATAAGATCATCTTTTAATTTAATCGATTTATGTTCGAAACGTCATGAAATTGAGAACCAATTGACATCAATAATGTTTTCAATAAATATGTTATTTCTTCTTTAACAATTAGAATTCTATAATGTATTATGATCTCCTTTGGAGCACAATTTACCTAAAGAATTAACTATTAATATAAAATATTCATTTCGCAAAAAAAATTATAGACTTACAATAAAGGCAATGTACTCGTAATTATCTTTTATAAACCGCTCACTTGGTTCTATTTTCTATCCTATATTCAATATGTTTTATTATTCTCCTTTTTTATTAAATGGAACTATGTATAAATAATGCAAAATTAGAATTAATGGAAACACACAAATACAACAAAAACTTTAATAATCCAATCTTCAGGATAGTCTATTGCAGATAGGAAAAATCTGGATATGTCATCATTCTGGATTCCTGGAATCTCCTATAATGAAAATATTAGAGTTGTAATAATAAATAACAAACTGTAGTATTACTATCAATATTATTGCTTAAAGTATATTTACCAAAATAAGTATGAATTATTTTTGAATATAAAAGGCACCAATCTACAAGTAAACAATTGACTAAAATATATTTTAAAACTGCAAATGAGGTGCAATTCTATATAGAGTGTATATAAATTATTTGATATGAACATATATTATATCGACATGACATGGTAATATTTACATAAGACTATTATTAAAAGATTTCTTCTATTCAATAAAGATGAAGCTTTTTCAACTTTGAGAATAATTATAATTACCTATTCACAAATTGACCTCACAATCCATCTGTTATACATAATATATTCATGCCTTTAAATATTTTTTCTAAAAAAAATAATGATGAGCATGATTAATTATAGGTACATATATTTGTTTTGAATACAAAGATATAATTTTTTCACTTCGATCGTAAAACTCCAACGTTCTTATCTGATTTTTTTATTCAGAATATTCTAGCCTAATTCTATCACTTTCAAAATCCTCCATATGAATTATTTAATCTTGATAACAACTTTATGACAAGAATTAATTTCAACAACGTCATAAACTAAAATAATTATTATAAATTTAACAGTATTATAATAATTTTACAGAAAATAAATTCATAATATTTGAAAAATATTTGTTTATTTCATAAATATTGCAATTGTAAAGATAGCAAAAGGTGTCCATCAACTTTATCAATGATAAAAACAAGTCATATGTGGAAAATCTACATAATAATATGAATAACTTACAGAAGGCACTTTAAAATAATAACCACAGCAACGTCGGTAACATATGCGCGATACAAAAATAAAAGTTTTTGTAATATTACAAATTTAGTCGTGATATATTGGTGGTCAGTAGTAAATGCCTGAATAAAATGGGTTACAAAAGGCTTGGATTAGGTCTCATACGACGATTTATATATTCAAATGTGCATACTAAAAATTATTGCACCAATGTAACTGAAATGAGTAAGTTAATTAAAATATATTCATATATTAACGCGCAAAATAACGCAACATGTAGCTATAATTTCAATTCAATCCATAGATTCAGCTAAATCAGTACTTCCTTTTAATAAAGTACCTGGTCCTTCAACTTTACCAGTAATAGGAACTCTTCATCATTTTCTACCAGGCGGTGAGTAATATACATTAAATTATATAAATTAATCACATATCACCATCTATTGGATTTATTTTATATTTTTTAACTTATTTTAAATTATTAATAAATAATGTGATAATTGTAAGTTAATTATTTTAGGTAGTTATAACGGGTTAGACTTGGTTGATCTTGGTCTGAAACTATATGACGATTTTGGAGATATCGTAAATTTAAAAGGGATGCTTGGTAAACAAGATATGGTATTTTTATACGATTTAGATGATTTTGAGAAAGTAAGTTAGATTAAATTATGTGCCTTGGTAAAATGATAAAATATATACCAATTTGTAATTTTAAATTTGTAAGATAGCTATGTCTGCACTATAAAGTTTTAGTATGCAAAAATACAGACGACGTGAAAAATTTGATCAATACTGAAATATTTAATTCAGAGTGATTTTATTTTATTGATTTCTGATAACTTAAGGCTGCGTATAATTTAGATCACGTGGAGAAATTCATGGACATTTTTAATAAAATAAACATGTTCATACATTAGAAAATGGTATGAAAAATTAAAGTAATATTATATGCAGTTTTTTTTGCTAAAGTATAACCGTATAAAGCAATATGTTAATATTCCAATATGTTTATGACGCACTTGCTGACCGATAAACAATATTTATAGTGCAAAACAGAATATTTGCATTTCTACTTCATTATCTACTTCACTTATAATCTTATCAGCTTTTCTTGTTATTGCATTGCATTAATAATTATATATTTTTACCAATTTAAATATACATCCATAAAAAACAGTTGTGATTTTTTTTACTAATCATATAAATGGTTTATGATATGCTATCAATTTCATCACGCTAAAAATAGTTAATGATTATAGATTTATAGAACAGAAGGAGCTTGGCCAGAAAGATCAACTGTGGCAACTAGGGAATATTACCTAAAAGTTAGAAGACCTGAGGTTTTTAAATCAGTTTATGGCCTCATTCATTCGTAAGATTATTATTGAAAAATATAATTAAATGCAGGCATAAATATTTTTCGTTATTTTAAGGCAAGGAAAAGAATGGCAAGACATACGGACAGCCGTAAATCAAATAATGATGCAAATGAAAACTGCAAGGCAGTATGTAGGATGGGTCGATGAAATAGCACTCGATTTTATCAAAAGGTAAATGATTAAAATAGTATTCAATTAAATGATAATTTTATACACACACCATAAACGTAGTATTTTTACTCATACATAAAAATGTATAAATCGTTTGTGAATTTTGGTAAAGTTCCAATTCCATTCATTTAGAAGTCAAACATGAATACTTTACATAAGAGTATTGAAATATTACATTTCCTATGCATATTATAACCTAAACTTTGTTAAATTTTTTGGTTCTGCAGTATATAAAAATTCTCAAAGTTCTTATTAGACCTTTTTAATTAATATACTAAATTGGCACTCTTACGTACTCTCATATAATTTTTATATCAATATTCGATTGGAGTGATTAAACTTATTTAATATATCTTTTTTAATATCCCGTAGAGTAAGTTATATCATAATCGTCTAAAAATCGAAAATAAGAATTTTTGCATATCTTTACGTTTCAGAGGTTTCTGAACAATTT